GCCGGTCGCGACAAGGCCGCCGCTAGGGCTTCGAATGCCACGTCGGTAGTGGTCACAACGACACTCCGCACAACGCAGCAGGAGGCGGAGCGGCTCCCCTGCGAGCGGCAGGTAGTCGCGGCCCTCCGGTGTCGTACCTCCGCTGGAGGGACCACGACGATGACGACGACGATGGCGCCGACGGAGGCGGCTGTGTGGCAGGGCGTGGCGGCCACGAGTACGAGGTGGTCGTCAGGCATAGGGTTTATGTTCTTTTTCTAGTTTTTTAGTTAAACGGTCGAAATATCGACCTTTTTATGTAAATTATATCCGAACTTGAATGAAATCTGTCCGATTTGATCGAATTTCTTGAGGTTGGTTTGAATTGTTGGCTGGATGTACACGGCTGGGTTGGATGTCGTCCTCTCGTATCCGTGTCCGCGGACTGATCCTCGCGCCTTTTCATGGACGAATGCGGAAAAAAATTGCTGATTACTGTTAAACATGTTCTTAGGTGTTACTCCCTTCGTTCATAAATATTTGTCTTTCTAGATATTTCAAATGGACTACCATCGTATATAGACATATTTTAGAATGTGGATTTACTTATTTTGCTTTGTATGTAGTCACTTATTGAAATCTCTAAAAAGACAAATATTTAAAAACGGATGGAGTATAAGAGAGAAGGGAAAGAAAGCACCCGCGTTGCACATACAGGGCCAAGGCATGCATGCATTGCATGCACACCAGGAACAGATGAACAACCAAGCGAGGAAGCATTCGTGTACATGCATGCGTATAGATGGTGACGCCAAGATCAGTGACGTTTCGTCTTTGCCATGTCAGCGCCAACCGGACGAGTGTGGGTCAGGGCCAAACATGCAACCCAGACGTCATGAATGTTGATGTGACAAAAAAAGGTCAGATTTGAAAATATTTCAGAAACAGGGTCAATTTGTGCTTAAGTTTGCCGTATAGCTTAGAACAGAAATTTTGTCCAACAATAGACGAGCATGGAGCGCCGAGGGTGGTGGTACGCGTGACGTGAGGCGACGCACGGTGGATCCCCGTACCTGGGGTCTGGGGCCGGCGGGGCAGCGGCCATTGGTCACGCACGCGCGCACGTACGCTGCTGCACTGGCGACGGCGCAGCGCGAGCGCGATGTGCCGGCCGATGCGGGGACAGCGGCGGGTCCGCGCCTCCCCACGCCGGCCACGCCCCGTGACCCGCACTGTCAGCGGCTTCGATGGCTCCGCCCAGCTTCAGCCAGCGATCGACGCTCGGAGGAGATCTGGACTTGATGGATGGATCCTGACGCGCGGCTACGGGAGCTCTGGTGATCGGTCTGCGGCGGCAGGCGGCAGCGGCGACGGCAGCTCCTCTGTGGTTCGGCGAGGGTGACGAGAGAGCGTGCGTGCGTGCGTGCAAGGGGTTGTGGGGAGATGGGCCCAAGGCCAACCGAATGTCGGGATCCCGACTGTCTATTACAACAAATTGTGCCCGACTTTGATGATGGAGGGATGAAAACGGTGGCGCGCCTTCGGCACGCTTCAGTGCGTGTAGTCGTCGTTAGGTGGTCTACAGATCTAAATTTAATTTTTATTTTTGATGTTCGTTGTACTGCCATGATTGAATATGAATAGATTGAAAATTTTTACAAAAAAAAAATCTCCCTTAAATTTGGTACTGGTTTGACGGTGTTGGATGTCCAAACCGCTCCGCGAACATTTAATGTCCCTCGTGGGATGACCAAAAGTGTTTGAAACACACGGTTCGACGATTTGCTGAAGAGCGTTAGAGTTGCCCTTAGAGCTCCGAATCACGTAACGATTTTATACACGGTGTATCATTTCTTAGGGAAGGTGTCTCGTTTATTTTTGTGAAAGAGGATTTTCACGGTGTAGTTTTGTGGCACTCTTGGGAACTTTATTTTTTTAGAAGACCTTGGGATCTCGTTTTCTGCGTGACTTAGTTCTCCGCTTGTTTTTAATGTGTTTCTTCCTTATTTAGTCTTTTTATATTTTTATTGTTTTCTTTATTTTCATTTTATGTATGCATTTTTTTTCCATTTTTCCATCTGTTCTCTTTTCTTCTTCCTTTTTGCACTTTTGTTTGTTTGTTTTTTATGTATTATATGTGGTACAGAAAGCGAATATTTTTTAAGTAATAAATATACATTTATTTTTGAATATGTGACATTTTGGTTTTTAAAAAGTGCATGAACATTTGTTTTCACAAGCAGAATTTTTTGTTGATCAACATGGACATATTTCTTTTCCAAAAATGAACATCACATCAGCAAATAATGATTACCCTATTTTCCAAATACAGAAATAATATTTTATACCTGGTATATAAATCAGTTATAAAATAAATAAATGGACACTTCTTTAAAATACACCGATACTTTTCCATATGTTTGAATCTTCTATTTTCCGCAACACTTGAATATCTCCATTTTATAAAACTGGCAACATCAAATCAGTGGAAAAAATATTTATAAAGATTTACATGGGAAATACTGTACCTTTATATGGCCCATTTAAATTTCGTTGCACGCGAGCTGGAAGTCAGAGCTCGCAATAACTGAGCTATAGGGGCGCGCCTGATATCTTTGGACCCTGCCTGCGGACTGCAGTCGCGCTAGGATAGTAGATGCCGAATCTGCTTAATTTTCAGTTTGTATTCACTGCTCGTTCGACGCTCCATATAGGCTTTGAAGTTGCAAGTTTCAGACAGAACAATTCCCAAAAAAGTTGCAAGTTTCGGACAGAACAGAGAGGGAGCACATAGGAAGTTACACCAAAACTGGGCCGCAATTTTTTTCTTATAGAGAAACAAGGGAAACGTTATTAATCAGCCGGCTGATCATAACCTGCGCATCCGCCGGGCGCTGCACCGTCGGGTCGCTTTGTGGCGATTTCACTCGGGCCGTGCTGGAAGTGTTCACAAGGAAGCGTGCAGGCCCTGCGGTCCACTGGTTGATACTTTCAACATTCAGATGAGTACGTGTGCGTTTTGACATACAACCTTCGACGTCATATTGCATTGCTGCCTAACTAGTACTTGTAGCTACTTCCTTCATTTTGTCGCCACTTCGCTCACACAACATGTGTCTCACGTGACATGCTGGCTTCTGACAATTTTCTTTTGCAATTTCTGCTACATCACCAATGTTGAACAAGTTTCTTCCGTAACATTCGCTATGTTGCAAAAAAAATGAGGACGAAAAAGAAAATCTGCAACAAAGCCTTTGATGCAAAAATAAAAATCTACAACAAAATCGCAGTTGTAAGAAAGTTTGTAAAAAGATGAAGATGGAAAAATAAATTCTGCAACAAAGCCTCTGTTGCAAAAAATCTGCAACAAAATTTCAGTTGCAAAAATAATTATACAAAAAGACCTCTGTTGCAGAAATTTTCTGCAACAATACCTATGTTGCAATAATGAAGGGCGCCTATGCACCAGATCTGATGGCCCGCGAGCCGGCCGATCTTTTAAAAAGACCAGCCGGCCGGCCACGTAGCGGTCTCCTTTTTCAATGGGAAAAGATTCCCTTCAACCGACTGATTTTTCCAATGCACCCGTGACCTCCCATGGACGACACGTGTCCCAGTCATCACATATACCGCTTCGTCCTTGATGCCTTATCTTCTCTTCCGAGCACTCCCATCCACATCTTCTCTCCTTCCCTAACTCATTCAGTGTCCTCCACCACGCACGCATAGGATGGAGAGCACCCATGAACGTAGATGCAAGCAGCAGCTAGTGACTTCAACAGCAAGCACTCATGGGAGCATGCGAGGTAGCCGGCCGATGTGACCGGCGACAAGGTTTGGCAACGCTCAGGATGGGAGCTCGGGGATGGATGGCCTTGCGGTTGGTGCCAGCGATGGCGGGGATGAGCAGCACCGCTCCTTCCTGCGGGCGCACGCCGACAGCGGCACGATGGTGGGGATGAGCGGCTCCGCTTCCCCTCGTCGTCGTCCCGCGGGAGCTCGTTGCGAACGATGCATTTTTCTGCAACATCCAATAAGTTGCGAGAAAAATTTCTGCAACATTGGTCATGTTGCAAAAAATTATTCCGTCACACGATATAAAGGTGAAGACAAAGAAAATAAATGCAACATCACCTCAGTTGCAAAGTTTTTCTGCAACAATACCGCTGTTGCAAAAAAAGTGAAAATGAAATGGGAAAAAATCTGCAGCACAACCTACGTTGCGAAAAAAAATCCCGCAACACAACCTATGTTGAAAAAAAAATCCACAACACAATCTCTCTTACAAAAAAAATTCTACAATTTTTTTTGCAACATCACCACAGTTGCAAAGTTTTCTGCAACAATACCATTGTTGCAAAAGTTACATCACATCTCCGCACAAAGTCTCTATTTCAGCAACAACCAACTTGATGCAATTTTGTGATGCTCGTGTGGGGAGATCTAACAGCGTGGGAGGTGGGCTTGTTTCTGCAACACCGCGCTTGTTGCAAAAGGGAGGTGGGGAACGTGGGTTGTACATTGGACGGCCAGCAGCGCGTCCATCCAACGGCCAGCCAGGCGGCGGATGTTTCCAATTCATCCACCGGCGGACGCCTAGCAGCCCTCGAGAAACAATGGGTCGCAAGTGAAATCATGAACTTAGTCATACAAACGACCCGGTACACACACAAAGGTAAATGAGGAAAGTATCGTTTTCCCCCTCAAATCCTGTCTGATGGACCGATTTCCCCCCAAAGTCTAAAACCGGATCAATCAGCCCCTAAACTCTCCAAAACTGGATCAATTCTCCCCCATGGTGGTTTTGCACCAGATTTAGGTGGTTCTGACTAGTCTCCTTGCTGACTGGACAATGCTGACTTGGCAGATGCAACTTTCCCCAATTTTTAATTGCAATCCGCTCCCTCGTCGCGTAGCACTCTATCGTCGTCCCCCTCGCCGCGAAGTACTCTGTCGCCGTCCCCTTTGTCGCCCCCTCGCCGCCCCATCGCCGTCCCCTCGCCGTCCGCTCGCTGCAGTCCATGGCGTCTGCTAGCTCGTCAAGCAGTCATCGGTCGCCGCGGTCCATGGCCTTCTCAGGGCAGTCGCCGGTGCCATATCGGGAGCCACCGATGGCGTACTCGCCTGAGAAGGTGTGCCACTGCAAAGTCAAGGCTCCGAGGTGGATTTCGTGGAGCATTGCCAACCCCGGTCGTCGATACTACAACTGCAGCCAATCTCTGGTAACTAGATCTGTGCCCACCGTTTTTGTTTGTTGTTTCGTTGAGCAGCGAAGTTATAGTCTTTGCGTGATTCTTTTGACAAAATTGCACAATTTTTTGAATAGGGATATGACTGTGGGTACTTCAAGTGGCATGATGATCCCTTGGATAAGTTTGTCAGTACGCTACTAGGTGACCTGCGAGATGTTGTGAATCGGCTGAAGACAGAGGTTAGGAAGCTCAAGACCGAGAAATCATAGCTGGAGCATGCTCTCATGGATGCCAAGTGCAGCATTGGTGATGCTGATGTCTATGTGCTGGATTTAAAAGCGCAGCATGCTCAACAAATGGATGTTCTTGCCAAGGAATTTTAGAGAAGCAAAAATATGTACAAATTTGCCATCTTTTTCTGCATTGTGTGTGTTGTTATCATGGCTTTGAAGATGTGATGTAGTATCTTAGTGAACCACCTATGTAAGCTCGAGTGAACAAATGTATTTGAGTTTAAAATTTCAAAAGTCTGAACTTGTGTCTGAAGTTAACTGAACTTTTGGTTGTCTGAATTTTTCTGAAGCGTTGTCTGAAGTTAACTGAACCCACCGCTTTGACAGCCACCCATTTAAGGCCAGCTCTCGCCCATACAGCACTAGCCCACCCACTCTCATCCACTCGCCATTCCCCACTCTCATCCACTCCCTTCGCCTCTCGCCCACCCACTCTCATCGCTTCTCAACGCCGGCGATGGCGCCCAAGAAGAAGACTGCAAGAGATGTTCGCCGTGCTCAAGACCGATGGGAGGAAAGTGTGAGCAGGTTCTGCAAGGGGGATTCAGAGGAAAGGGCCGATGTGGAGGAGATCTACAACAGATTTCTGAGCTTGCATATGTGCGTGGACCATGCTAGGGGCCTCATCGTTGTGGCAACTGATGTTGAGAAGAAGACAATGTTCCCCGACGGCCGTCCCATTCCAGCTATCTCTGTTTTCCTTTGGGCTATGAATGAGGCGGAGAAGTCACTAGATCCGCGTCAGCGTGCCAGGTGGTACGAGTACCGCTCCCGCCGTCGCCCCCTCCACCTCCAGTTGAAGGTCTCGTCGGCGTCGTGGTCGCTGTACCAGCTGCAGTGAAGCAGGTTATTGTGCACTCTGACAGCGACGGAGAGTGCAGTGAAGATGTGGAGGAGGACAGCAAGCAGGAGCAGGATGTGGAGGACAGCGAGCAGGAGCAGGTGGTGCTGGATGTGGAGGACAGCGAGCAGGAGCAGGTGGTGGTGGATGTGGAGGATGACAGCGAGGGGGAGGTGGCGCCTGCCGACGACGACGTGTACGCGGTGGCGCCGGTGATCCTGCAGCTCGGCGACAGGAGCATGCCAATCGAGGCGGAGACTTACATCCGCGTCGGCATTCGCCACTCCGACCGCATCAAGAAGATGAAGGACATGTAGAAGTGAAGACAGAGAAGTTAAGTTTCTAGTTCAGTGTCTAGTTCATTATGCACTGAGAAATGCAGTTAAGTTTGTAGTCAGGACTGGAGAAATGCAGTTAAGTTTCTATGTTAAGTTTGTATGTTAGGTACTGGAGAAATGCAGTTAAGTTTCTATGTTAAGTTTGTATGTTAGGTACTGGAGAAATGCAGTTATGTATGCACTGTCAGAGTTTCTAGTTAAGTACTGAACAAATGCAGTGATCAAATGTACTGAAGATGTTCAAGCATAAATGTTTTCAACTCTGTTGTCCTCTTTGTTTTAATCCAAAAAATTATAGTAGCAGAAATTGTGCCTCAAATTAACAGAAGCAAAAATTTAGGACAAGTGTGGCACAAATTTAGCACAGTATCACAAATTTTGTAATCAAATGGATGGCCCTTTCTTAGCATTTAGAGCCTCCTTGTATGCGGCAAGGTTGAACACACAATGTTGTGGAACTCTAGGTTGAGAGCTTGGTTGTGAGCTCTGTTGAGAGCTTGGCTGTGAGCTTTGTTGAGATGTAGGTTCATTGATCCTCAGGGTTCCTGGTTTTCTTCTAACTTCCAACTTCTTTGGCCTAGGTTGCACAACCATTGCCTTGCCTTTTATATCAGCAGCCTGCAAACAAGTTTTCATTAGTATAAACAAAAAAGCAACCAAGTTTTCATTAGTAGAAACAAAAAGCAACCAATTTTTCATTAGTACTAACAAGTGTCATCTTAACCTGCTTTTCAAGCACAACTTTCTGAGTCTGAAGAGCATCAAAAGCCTCTTTGTCTTGCTTCTTTTGTTTTGCAGCTTCTCTGACCAAATGAGCATTTCCATGATGTTTAGCTGCATCATTGTTCTTACAACTTGATCTATTATGTCCTTGCCTTTTGCAAGAACTACAAGTGATCTTGCCACCTACTTTGCTCATCTTAGTACCCTTAGGTTTTTCTCCTTTCTCTCTCCTTCTTTCTGTTTTAGGCCTTCCAGGCAAGCTAATGTGACTAGGTGGCTGTGGCTTTGGATTTGTTGAAATAGGCCAACTCTCCTCTCCCTCCAAAGGTTGTAAGCAATGATCATATATCTTGTTGTACACTTCTATGGAGTAGCAAGGAGCAATATAATCATCAATTTTCTGTCCTGTTTTATAGATAGCACTAATGGCATGGCAGCAGGGTAAACCTGACAGCTGCCAATATCTACATGAGCAAGTCCAGAGCTGCAAGTTAACAGTAAATTTGAATTTCTCATGCTCTTGCACTTCAAATCCATCTTTCCCATTCCACAGCACATGGCAGAAACCTGATCTCCTTATGTTTTGCTTTAGTTTTTTGAAAATGTTGGGACATATAGTTCCTTTCCAGTTAACTGACTTCCCTCTATTTTCTTGTACCCTCACCATAATTTTGCACCTGGTCCACTCAAGCATTGAGACAATAGCAAGGTACCTAGCTAACAGGATGTAGTTGTTGAAAGATTCACACATGTTGTTATCAACTGAATCACAATTAGACCCCAGCTTCATGTAGGCCCTACTCCAATGTACTGGATTAGTGTTTATCATATCTTTTGCACCCTCAACAGTAAATTGTGCTAGCCTGGCCCTGTTGTAGTTGAAAATCACTTTGTTTGGTGATTTTGCACATCTCCAAAACCTTTTCTGAAGATCATGGTCTGGGTGTTTTTTCTTCCAATTAGCATATATGTGTCTTGCACACATTCTATGCTCAGCTTTAGGAAAAATATCCCCCATTGCCCCTATAAGTCCCTTTTGTTGATCTGACATAAATACATATCCATCTCCTTGATTGCTTATTTTCAAGTCCTGGTTTATTTTGGCAAGAAACCAGAACCATAACTCATAATTTTCTTTCTCCACAACAGCCCAAGCAATAGGATACATCTGGTTATTTGCATCTCTTCCTATAGCACACAACATCTGTCCATAGCAAGCACCTTTGAAAAAACAACCATCAAGGCCAATAACTTTTCTACAACCTGCCAAGAAACCTTTCTTCAAGGTATCAAAACACATGTAAAACCTTTGAAATACATATGACCCATCCTTTTCATTATGGTCCAACTTCACTGCAACTGTGCTTCCAGGATTAGTTCTTAGCAGCTCTAACTGATAATTAAATAATTTTGAGTACTCTCCTTCAGTGGAATGCAATAGTTTCTGCATGACCATTCTCTTTGCCTTCTTGCACTGTGCAACTGTCACATCAGCAAATAAGTCCTCAAGTACAGTTTTCCTCAAATCTTCTAACTTCCAACTTGGATTTGCTCTTATAAGCCTGCCATATTTTGTAGCAATAACAGTTGATGTGACCAGTTTGTTATCTCTTCTTGGAATGCAATGGTGCTCATCTACAAAGGTAGACACCTGTAGCCACTTATTTCTAGTAGTTTTAGAAGCATAGATCATCCAGTTGCAGCCAGGCCAAGTACACTTTGCACCTACTTTATGATTTTCATCCTTTGTGAAAGCAATATGCACATGTTTCTTAATGCCATATTTTATTAGAGCTTTCTTCATCTGATGTCTTCCTCTAAAAACCATTCCTATCTCAAATGTAGGAATTTCTGATTTGCTGTCATATTTTCTCCATTCACTTTTCCTTCTCACTAGCTGTGTGGCCCCCTCACCATCACTTTCCTCATCAAAAGAGCAGTCATCATCTGATGACACAACATCATCTTCTAGGCCATCCAACTTCTCATCACCAGACAATCCTTCAATCACATTATTATCTTTGATGACAGGCCCCACAGCATCCCCTAATTTCTTTGTTCTCTTCTGCCTCCTAATTTCCCTTGCTAATTTCCTTAATTTCTCTGCCTCTGATTCTTCAGCAGAACTGTGCTCTGACAAAGGCTGGTAGTCAATGTCACTTTCATCATCACCTTCTTCTCCTTCTTTTACATTTTCATGTAATACTTCATTAGCACTTGTTCCAATTTCAACATGATCTGTAGATGTATACTCAAATTCAGAAGTAGTTGCTGGGTTCTGTCTTTGAGTAAATTGTGGCATTGTTCCTCTCTGTGGTGTACCTGCTGCTGCTTTGGTCTTTGCAGATTTTGCTTTATTTCCTACTGGAGCTGAAGAAGATGCACCTGGACATGAAGAAGATGCACCTGGACATGAAGAAGATGCACATTGGGCTGCACCTGGAGTTGGAGGAGGAGCACATGCACCTTGAGCTGCACCTGAAGATGTAGTTGCTGAAACTGGAGCTGCAAGAGGTACTTTTCTTCTTTTAGCTATAACTCTACTTGCTCTACTTTTCTTAATCTTCATTGGACTCTCAAATGTAGTAAGAAAGTCATTAGCCTCACTTATTATCCTCAAATTTTCTTCCTCAGCAGCTGTCCTTTTCACACCTACAACAACTTCTGGCTCTGCTCTTTGTTCTGCTAAAGCTGAAGGAAATATGCCCTAGAGGCAATAATAAAGTTATTATTTATTTCCTTATATCATGATAAATGTTTATTATTCATGCTAGAATTGTATTAACCGGAAACATAATACATGTGTGAATACATAGACAAACAGAGTGTCACTAGTATGCCTCTACTTGACTAGCTCGTTAATCAAAGATGGTTATGTTTCCTAACCATGAACAAAGAGTTGTTATTTGATTAACGGGATCACATCATTAGGTGAATGATCTGATTGACATGACCCATTCCATTAGCTTAGCACCCGATCGTTTAATATGTTGCTATTGCTTTCTTCATGACTTATACATGTTCCTATGACTATGAGATTATGAAACTCCCGTTTGCCGGAGGAACACTTTGTGTGCTACCAACCGTCACAACGTAAATGGGTGATTATAAAGGTGCTCTACAGGTGTCTCCAAAGGTACATGTTGGGTTGGCGTATTTCGAGATTAGGATTTGTCACTCCGATTGTCGGAGAGGTATCTCTAGGCCCTCTCGGTAATGCACATCACATAAGCCTTGCAAGCATTGCAACTAATGAGT